AATCTCGGTAAATGGGGCATAACGGCATGGTATCGAATTACATAGTATCCACGAGTATTCCGCGAGTTGATAGATGATCAATCGAGTAATTACTGACACCTGAATTTTGGGGTGTCACACCCTGCACTCTTAGGCTCTCTCTGTCGGTGGAGCATCCCAGGATTCACCAAATTCCCCACCACCATCATCGATCGCTGTTCATGGCCAACAAAGGGCAAACCCAACAAGTTCAGATGTAGGGGAGGCAAAACTCCACACTGGTTGCATCTCAAACACTACCCTCAAACCAGCGTCGCCGAGTTCGTAGCTCTGCAATACAACACATCTATCTCAAATTCTCACTGAACAAACCCCACTGGTTCGATCTTTTTTTTCCCAAAGCATACAGATTTATTTAGGTAATGCAATTTGGGGGGTTTATGTTGAGGAAAAACATGTTTAGAACTTGATTTTTTTAGATAATGCAATTTGGGGGGGTTTTTGATAAACTTTTTGGATTGGAATTTGGAATTTAGTTGGATTGTCAAGAATGTGTTGATCATGGTACAGATATCATTACTTTTTTTTTTTTTGTGAAAGACTCAATTCATCGATTCAATGCAACTCAAATTCTATTGGAAAAGCTCTTCCGCAAACATATGCAATTTGAGTTATGACTGAATGACTGAAATATATGGCAATACTGGTTTCAATGTATTGTGATATGTTTCTATAACATTTTTTTTGTTCTTTATGTCAATTTATTGAACTGATAAAATACAAATCATATTGTTGAGAACTTGTCTCCTTCAGTATGAATTGATTTGTATGAAAGATAGTTTTTTGGACATTATATTGCTAGAAGTTATTGCTTTGTATGATATATGGGTATTTGTGGAATCTGATTGCTTGTTATGTTTTGCATCAGAGCAATGCGGGTTCTAGTTTTTTCTGCAATAAAATAAGAAATCTAGGTACTAGTTAAGTTAATAGAGGTTCCAAACTGCTTCACATGGAGCATCTCTGTTAAAAATTCTATGTTAATGTAGGTAGCTAATTATATCATGACAGTTATATTAAGCATCTAATAACAGCATGGCTACTTTCTTTTCCGGATAGATTTGGTAGTTGCTAAAATAGAGGAATGTTGGCTCTATTTTTCTAAGTATTGCTAAAATAGAGGAATTTTCTGCCCAATTCAACAGTGAACCTTTATTTTATTCAACAGTTGGTTCTATAATGTGGTATGCTTCATTATTGGTTTTCATTTATATAATGTTGAATCTAGACCTACTCAAACCTGTCATTCAATCCTGGTGTGTGCTGCATCTAACTAGTTGAGCAATAATTTTCTTAGGGAATATGATCATTGATAGTAAAGCCCTCAATTTTAGCTGCTGGCAGCATGCTAATAGGATATGAGTTCACAATCTTCCACTACTAGTTTATTTTCTTAGTGTTTGTTCAGGTTCCCAGATGCTCTTGCAGCATGATTTTAACACTGTCATTTTCTGCCCAATTTCAGCAGTGAACCTTTATGCACCTTTCTTTTGAGCTTTTTTCATCAACAATGTGGGTTTTCTAATAGATGAACATGGATATTACTTCACTAATCTCTTGAACGATAGAACAAATGTAGATGAGTTTAACACTCAATCAGGAGACCAAATAAGTCATTCTTCACCAATATCACCTCAAATAGAATCCACCACCAAAAAGGTTTGAGGCGGCAACTTTTCCATTGAGGAGGACTTAGTTTTAATCTCGGGTTGACTTAATATTAGTGTGAATGTCGTGCACGAAAATGAACAAAAATCTAAAAGGTATTGGCAAAGGGTTTAGGAGTACTTCAACGAATACAAACCACAGTCAAATTATAATCGTAATCAAGTTTCTTTGATGAATCGTTGATTGACAATTTAACTAGCCACCAATAAATTTTGTGGCTACTATGACCAAATTGAAAGGTTGAATCAAAGTGGTCTGACTGAGAAATACAATGTATGAGTGTATTTTAATTACAAGTGTGAAAATAACGCATTTTTCTTTTATGATACATGGCCTTATTGTACAATTTTCAGGTCTGTGATGCAAAGAAAGTGTACAAGGAATTTCATAAATCTTCTTTTCTATTTGAACATTGTTGGAATGAGTTACGATATCACCCAATGGATGGAGGATTCTCAGTCCAAGAAACAAAAAACAAAAAGTGGTGCAACTCATAGCAGCTCTAATCCTTCAACACTAGAATCGGTAAACATAAGAGACAATAGTGGGGGGTTGGAGAGGCCAACTGGAAGGAAGGTTGCGAAAGAGCGAGCAAAAAAGTTAAAGAACAAACTCTTTGAAGGCGATAATTCAAGTTTAATCTATTTCGTGAAATTGTTTGAAGAAATGAAAGAGGAGAAACAGAAGATGGTGAAGAAGAAAGTCGATTTCATGGAAAAAATGGTGGTTGTTGAACAAGAGAATGTACAACTCAAGCAAATGAAAGAGGAATATAAAATAATGTTGATGGATACGAGTGTCATGTCTCCGATTCAAGTTGAATATTTTAAGCGCCTCTAGATGGAAATCACAGCAAAGAAAATTTAATTTTTTCTTATTCATACACTAACAACTTTTGAGTAGTAAAAAATGTTAGAGTTTGTGGGATTCACGCCATTTGGTTTTATTGTTTTTATTTGAGTGTTTTTATTCTTCTTTATTCTTTCTTTTGCACACTCAAAATGCATTATTATTCCCTAATATACTGTGGGTAATGGATGTTCTAATGTTCTGCCATAGTTCACCTTTTACATACAATTCTTTGCTTTGATGGGGATATGGAAGATTTTGTGGTATTATTTTACATACAATTATTTTATATGCACTTCATCTTGTGGTATTATTTTACTCTGCAGCTGATGTTGGAACAAATTTTACTCGGCTATTGCTTCTTTTTTTTTGAAAATTACTTGACCCAACTTCTTGATTTACATTATGCAGTGTTTTGATGATATTATATTGTGCTATTATAACTCAAATATAAAATTATTATAATGTATGCATTTGTTGAGTACCATTTGAATAATATATGACCGTTATAAATATGACCATTATAAAATTTAAAAATTTGATAACGTGGCACAACATGTCATCATTATGACGCTTACGTGTTACGTCACGTGACATTTTTGAATTATATTATTAAAAGTTAATTAAAATTAGTTGAAATAATTAACTAAAATAGAGAGCGTGATTCGAGTGAATTTTAAGAAGTAACTAACTAAAATAATAAATTTAATATTTAAATATATTTTGAGTAACTATTTTAACGAGTATAATTGGAGATGCTCTAACCTCTTGGCTAGCTGATGATGTCTCCTTTTAGCACAAATCCAGAAACTCGATCGTCTTATCCAATCAAATAAAGCCACTATTTTACCAACAGTTTCATTGATTTCCAGCACCGTGCACATGGATCAGGCCACGTGGGTACGTGGATCTGTATCTTTTCTAATGTTTTTGTAATTTGATTGACCAGTGGAATATATTCCCTCGTCATGCTTTGATGCTCATGGGGCGAAGTGTTTCACTCTGCTCCAAGCGCTTGGTAAATAGCAAAGACGCTTCCCTGCCAACGGGTTCAGAATAACCCCAGAACGTCCTCGCTTTGTTCAACATCTACTTGAATCATTTGCTGGGTCATTGTTAGTGTACTGCAAAACGTTTAGATTCGAACTGCTAGACTAGGTTGTTTGGGGGGGAGCATGTAATGTAAAATTGCGCTCTAGGTATGAGTTTAAAAGACGTGGTATTTAAGACAGTTCTAGATAATTCTGTATCATCCGAAAAAAGGTCTAGATTGTCACAGATAAGGAAATTGATAAGGTATGGAGTCTATGAGTGACTATGTAAGACTGCCAATGTGATGATTTAAATTCGAGCGTTCTTCCAGGCACAACTTATGGCGTCTAAATGAATGGCATGCTAGATTTAGATTCCTTTTAGACATTTTTGAATAATAAAACCTTGAAACCAGCAAAAGTTGGAGCCATCTGGAACATATCAGTATAAATAAACCACATTGCATTGACCGCATTGCCTGCCTGTCGTAGCTTGATCACTAAACCATTCCTCTAATTGGATGCCAGAAAGTCGGGTGGTAGATTTTGCATGGGACCAAAGCATCAACAGAATCAACAAATAGAAAGATCAACAGGTCAAATTCAATCAAATTAGATAGCTACAGCAATTGTCCTTTCAGAATAATAATGTAAAAGGATATTTACATCACACAATGGAAACAATGCTCCCTTATTGAAGACAGCTGTTTTGAATGGACTTTATCAAAGCTTGATACAATGCAAAATGCAGTCTCTAATTCATTTGGATATCTTCTCTCATCCGTGGGAGGAGTAAGACAAGCTTGTAAAAACATTCTGCCTTCTTCACAACCCAATTGAAAATTAAAAAGAAGATTCTTGTGGCTCGGCACATTGCATATGGTGACCATTTCTCAGGGTCAATCTCATGTACAAAACATTCTCCCAAAACCTTAGTGTATTGACTGCACGTAGGTCCCTGTTTAGGAATTGCAATTCTGATTCTGGCACACCCATATTGAAAATATCTGGATTTTAAAGAATTTTGATAGTTTCATGCATGTAATACTAAGTTCGATCTGTGTCATTGCGACCAGTAACATTTAATCAGCTCCAAAAGCTTAAGTTTTGTGTCCGAAAAATGATCAAGCCAGATATAGATCAATCTTGGCCATCACTCTATTCTCACATCTCTAAAAATTGCTGATAGCAAACTGAACTACCGCACATTGTATTGCTATTTCCTACTGCCACTAACCATCAATTGGAACAACCAAGTAAGATGCCAATCTACAGATTTGCATTTGATACAAGACAATAGGATGCACTATTGTATCCTTTGTTTCCATGGTTGGCAATTTTTCTGTTCAGAAAATCTATGATATGGATAACAATTGATTCCTGAGTGAGGTCGGGTTGTCAGGCTTATGATCATCACTCTAATAATTTAAGAATGTCGGACACCTTGTTTGTATGATAATCTGGTTGGATGTTGTTTGATGGGTCTTGAAGAGTCGATAGATTAGTCACACCTGCAAACATTGCACCACATCAATATCAGAGAACTGAACCTCAAATACCAACCATTGTATAACAGAAAAGGGACAAATGGTATTTTACAAAAAAAACCCCCAAAAAAAAAAAATTGACTGATTGGCAAATAAAGAGAAGCCTTTGACCTGAAAGAACAAGGAGAGTTGTGCAGCCAGCATTCTGTCCAAATAAAATATCAGTGTCTAATCTGTCACCCACCATACACATCTTGGAAGTATCAATTTGAAATCTGCAAAAAAGAAAATAAAAATCAGGAATGGGGGGAACAGGGGGCAGAGTGGGATTATAATTTCTTTTAGAATTTCTCCTAGCATGGCTTAAGATGCAAATATTAAAGCTGTGCCATGTTTATAATAGAAGACATACTCAACTCAACAAAGTTTTTATGCCAATAATAGAGGGCATCACGATACACATTCAAGTTCAACAAGTAGTGGTTCCTATTCCACGTCCACCAAATGCTCAAAGTCTACCATCTCACTAGAACTTTTTTTATTTTACCATTTCTCTTTTTCTAGGTAAAAGGTAAGGATTTAAAAGACTTCAAAACTAATAACAAGACATAGGCACCCAAAAACAACAAAGAAAAAAGGGGAGGCACACATGGTCATTCAACAAGTATTAGACCACTATGGAATCTACTCCTGGTAATGAAGCCTTTTGGTGAAATTTAATAACCATGAAAACTTTTATCTCCCTTCTTTGGACAGGGTACAGAGACATCTAATATCCTAAATACTCCAGATATCTATAAAAGAAAACCTCTGCCAGTTAGAATTAGAGAATTAGTTAGTTTCACTGGTAACATCCAAAATAAGCCCAAGCAACACCCCATCCAGAATAATACTTTCGGTATACCTTAAGCAAAACTGCCCCTATTGCAGCCCCAAGCTGACAAAAAATAATTACATAGCATATAAAAATCATGCTTACTTCTGAAGTAAAAAGTCCATCATGAAAGTTGAAGGCTTTCCAACCACAATGGGCTCTTTTTGAGTTGATCCACATATTGCAGCAACCATACATCCCGCACCTGAAAGAAAGATGTGAGTGAGTGTATATGCATATAAAGATGCACTGTCTTGTGTATATTTGTATTTGAGCAGCTTTAAAAAGGAAGAGGTAGATGTGAATGGTTACCAGGCCATTCTTGTAAATCAGTCATATGTCCCACAGCATCCTGATTGGTAGCAATGAAAAGGCATCCTGGATTTTCACGAATGCAAAGAGTTCCATACCTGCATGTTATCACCATGCTGCTATTTAAATTGAACATTTCAGTTAACTAAGGAGATGACCAAATTCATGTGTTCGTCACATAGAAAATCAGTGTCGTCCAGAAATGCATCTACTTGAACACAGATATCTCAGTTTTAAGTTATATGACAAACAAAAAGATAATTAACATGGATATCCTTTATTTTCTGTATCAAAGCAAAGGTGTCATGTGAGTATATCACATTTGTGAACACATTTTAAGGACCTTCGACACAGAAATTAAAATATCAAAACTAAAAACCTTGATGATATCTATCCAAACCAATTCTATTATCTCTTTCCTGTACGCTCACATCTCAACCCCACCAGTTTGTGGGCGCAAGGATTGTGGATGGTTGAGGAGTGGGGTATGGTTGGGTTGGTTATTTTTTACCAATTCTCCACATCAGCGATCCCGATTACTTGGGCATAGTTGTGGCCTAATAATATCTTTTCTTTTTTCACTGCTATTTAGATAATGAGTCTCTTTTATCTGTTAACCGGTTGGCGTTATTTTCATTGATCAGTCGGCGCCGACATCTCAATGGCTAGGGACTACCTTACTCGTTATTGCCACTATGGCCTGCTTTCCTACTGCTAGCGTTATCCTGTCTTTTTTAGTTTCAATTATTCTCTGGATGTGCTCGTCCGCCTTTTCAAGTCTCTAAACTTGCTTCCTAAAGCTCTATGACTCATGGTTCAAGGTATCGGCTGAGTCTAATACGACTCAGCCCCCTCCGATACGATAATGGTATATGTTACACAAAAATCACAAGTCTCACCTAAATCGGTCGTGACTCGGTTATAACTCGGAGAAATATCGACGTAACTCAAACGAGTCATACTAGACTCGGACATATATGATAAAATTCTTCCAAAATTGAAAGACAAAATACAAAAAAAGACCAAAGTAGAGAAAAAAAAGGGATAAGAAATCAAGAAAAAAATGGGACTCAGATTTGCAAAAGGCATACCTTAAAATTGTAGGCATAACTACCTTTCTTCTTCTTTTCCATTCGCACAACAATCAGCAGCCTTTGTTCTTCTCTTTCTTTTTCTTTTTCTTCGCAACAAAGATCCAACATCATTGATTGCAGTCACGAATCGTAGATCAATTGCAGAAACCCTAGGTTGCTCAATTATGACTACTCGAAGTCTCGAACAACCCCCAACTCCCTCTATTCCTCTCTCTTTGTCACTATTGGTCTCTCGTCTCTCATCTCTCTCTCTCTCGTTTGAGAGTCTCACCTCTCATCCCTCTGTGTCTCTCGTTTGAAAGTCTCTCTCAGACCCACGACCACGATGGCAAACCTAGTCTATTAAAGACTATTTGATTGTGGTTAATTTATTAACTTAAATATGGTTAATTTACTTAGTATGAATAATTTATTAAAGTGTAGTTAATTTATTTTACTTAAGAGTGGATAATTTATTTTATTTGTGGGTAATTGGTTTTTGGGTTCACTTTTTGTTCAAGTTTACTTAAATTAAATTTACTCTTTAATAAATCATTAAAATATTTAATGTAATAGTTAGATATTCAAATTATTTATTTTTTAAATAAATATTTGAAGTATTGTATTTTAAATCAAATACTAAATTATTATCCTTATGGTAGGAATTATCCCAATTTGTATTATCCTAGAGACAATAATAATGATGATATGTTCTTAAGTGTTTTTTTTAAAATTTTTCATAATTTTTTTTAAATATTTTTGGAGCTTCTATCTAATATTTTGAGCATATCGGCCGATACCGCAACTTTGAACCATGTTATGACTACTTGTTTATGATCAACTTCTTGACTTTTATTTGAGCCTTTTCTTTGCTGTTAGTTATAGCATGTTGTCTTAGTCAGCTAACTTTACTTTATCTTCTCATATTCTGGTGGTGTAGCATTTTTTTTTCTCAAGACCACCACCGACAGCCTTAGCTTGTGTGACTTCCACTCTAGAAATGAGAGTCAAACTGTGAACAACGAAGAACAAAAAAAGATTGGGCCATTGGGGTCTAACTTCTCCCTTGTCGTCCAATTCCTTCCTCTGGCTGGAAGCTTTTACTTGGTTCGACCCACATACATAGAACCGGATTCCCGATAGAACTTCATAGATTTTGCTTACCAGTTAGTCATACAAATTTTACTAATATAGAGAAATTGTTTCTTTTGAATTTGACAAGGGTTCAACCACATATGCTCTAGCTGTGTTGCATAAGAAGAAAATACTGAACAACTTACTTACAGGGTGACAACTCAAAGTTTTCGGGCGGTATACCCGTCTCCTACTATTCAAGGGCTCCTTCACTGGCTAGGGTCCCTCAATCAATCGAGAAGGTGTAGATAAATATGTTGATGCAGAAATTCATGAGAGAAATCGGGCGGAATCAACATGGAGTTGCTCACTTTGACAGCTATATGAAATGCCTTTATGTTGCTTTGAATGATTTACTAATAGGTTTGATAAAGGAGCTTTTAAGCCCCTTTTTTTTAGGTTGGATCCAAGGTGAAGCCACTTTTCTTTTTAAACAATTAAAGCCGAGACATGGATTTGTTGGCTAACTATTTAATCTCGTGAAAAATGGGAGATAGGTAGGCAGATGAAGGAAGGGCAACTACTAGTAGGAGGAATGCAGAGAACCTGCATGAGGTGAGTCGAACACGAGCCGAGTTGCAATGGAGGGTTTGCTACAATGATTCGGGCAGTTGGCGGCCCCTTCAAGAGTTACGGGTCCTTGCTGCTACATGAGTGGCAGCTCACGCTCAAAACTCCTCCAACACGAGTTCTAGTCGTTGCACAGTGATCTCTTTCCCGGCTGCACTTGAGCAATTTTCACTTTTGATTGGTTTCATCCATCCCCAACCGTAATGAAAGGACTTAGAGGGCACCCACCCCTTGAGCTCTACTTGAGCTAGAGTCACGTTCAGGCTCTATGATTCCCCATCAGCTTTAGCTAGCTGATATCTTTTTATATATAAATCAAACAATTAAGAAGGTTGAAGGCTTGGGAAGCCTTCCGTCCCCATTTCCTAAATTCTTAGAGTTTTGATTTTTTTTCAATTACTAAACTAAGGCTTTCTCCGATCACATTCTATTGTGTCCTTTCTAATCACCCCTCAACTCCCCCTCTACCTAACCACTATTTTTTCAAATTTATTAAAACACAATTTTTTTTTGGGCAAGTTAAACATAATTATTTTTACTACCTAATAACATTTTGATACTTTTTTTAATCTTTCATTTAAAGTAATAAGATGAAAACGGAAAGAATGGGTAAAAAAAATAGAAAAGAAATAACAATACAAATTCCATGCATCGCATGAAACGGAGCGCTAGTTATACTTGACTCAATTCACGTGCAGCTTTATCATAGAGTTTATGCAAGTCCCAATGATTTTATGCACATTCATAAAAATTCAACAAGTTAAAAGAAGATACATGGTGGATTATCTTACTGTAGCTTGTAATAGTTTATATACTGGTCCAATCCTACCACAACCGCTCCAACCTGATATTAGAACTGCAACTTTTATAATCACAAGACACCACAACATGCTGATATAAGGAACGTGCAAGATGTTACATTACACTCATATCGTGCTCAAAGAGACTATTTGGTTTCAGCTGCACCATCTTTTTCCCATCATCCTGCGCTTAATATCATTGTCATCCAGTCAAAGATCAGAAACACAAAGAAATGAAACAAATGGACTACTTATTTGAAAAACAATTTTATCACATGTCCTCAGAAGTATCAAAAAATAAACAAGGGTGGGTATCCATGTGGAGTATCTAAATTCCCTAGGCTTTAAAAAAGGTTAAAAAGCATTAGAAAGGATATTAATTAACCACACTAAACCATTGGTGTGTGGTTAATTACCTCTTTAAACCATAATTACCACCTCAGAAAACAGAAATAGGACTATAGGAGATGGGAAACGAGATGGTAAAATGCAATCCATTGAAAATATGAAAAAAAGAAAGAAAAAAAATGAATAGAGTTATATCCAAAATTTGGAGAAAAGTTTAGGAAAGCACCATAAGGCTAAAAATTAGTCACTTTAATAGTGCAGTTGACATATTGATTCGTCCTGTGTTAATGTATAAGAATAGGGTTAAAAGGCATATGATTTGGAAACAATTACTTTAGAGGTAATTTTATTTTACTAAGAGTCCTCTATAAGCTAGGAAGCAAGAGAAAAAGTGAGATTCCTTTGCAGAGAAGCTCACATAAATCTGAAACTTGGACACAAGGTAATGGGATTTGCGACAGTAAAAAGATTTTCAGGTAACTATGCCTCAATACCTCTTCACTTAGAAAAAGGACCACCAACAGCAGGTTTATACCTGAAGCCAACATAACATCTAAGGAAAAATGATAAAAAAAAAAGAGGGTAAAATACATTTCGCACAAAATTTCCCAATACTAATCCAAGACTTAAAAGTTTTAACAAAAGAAAGCTTACAGGACCACCAAGGCCGGTATAACCAGCACGTTCCAGTTCTTCTAATAAGCCCTCCTCACCTATTACATAAACCTGCAGAAACTTTTACGGGCAATGTTAGCATCGTCCAACAACAGGCAGCGGCATAATTGCAAATATATTAGGTGACCAAAAGAAAGGGAAACTAATTTTTTAGCCAAAAAAGAGAAGGTAAAGACAGAAAACTTGGAATAATGGAGCAAATATTTTGTCTAAAAATTGGACAAATAACTTGGCCAGAGTATATTGAATAGTTGAAACTTGAATAATTGCATATTAGGGTTAAGGAAAAGAAAGAGAAGAACAATATTGATGCAGTTAAGGCCCCCATCCAGACGCCACCATCACCGTCAAGACGGTGTTGGCTTGTATCTAAGGTGTGTGCTGCCAACACCCTATCACATATTTATATTTGATTGATATTGAATACAATTACAATATCAAGAAACTAGAAAAATAGAAAAGTGACACAATAGGAAATTAACATAATATGAAAATAGAACAATAGAAAAATAACACTAATACTTCCCCTAAAATTCGAGCATAGAGATCAAAATATCCCCAGTTTGAAATAAAGGCTACTAAAGGTACAATAATAGTTTGGTGAGAAAATCATTGAGTAGATTGCAATATCTCCACATATACAATAAGGATGATAAAACCAAGTTCCTGCCTCAAACCATTCAACGACTTCTTTAAGCAACACACAATTCAACCATATTCTCCCAACAAATCCAACTGCTTGCTCCATGTGAAGTCTAAGACATTTTTTTGGTTTTCTAAAGAAACAAATAATGACCACACTAAAACAAGTAATATCAAATGACAATCACGACAACAGACAGTGATAGCAAAGGACAAAGACAACAACAGTAGCACCACCACTGACAATACTGGCACAAACGAACACAACCAACAACACTACAACAAACCATAGGCAACAACAAATTAAACCACAACAATCAAAAATAGAATAAATAAAACAGAACCAGAGTTGAATCAGCCAAAAAGAGGTTGAATCAGTGCTAAAAATCACAAAATCAAATACTAAATCGAGATGAAAACCTTGAAATTGGCATCGCTAAAATCACGAAACGAAAGTAGTGCATGATAAAAACTACAAAACCAACACCAAACTAGGGTGAAAACCACTAAACTAAAACTAAACCAGACTGAAAACACTAAACTAGAATTGAACTGGGATAAAAACCACAAAACCAAAACGATAGTACCTAGCTGAGTTGAAAACCACTAAATCGCCACTAAACTGGGTTCTAAACACCGTATCGAAATTGAACTGTGATGAAAATACTCAACTAGCACCAACATTAAATCAGGTTGAAACTAATGAATCGAAATTAAACCAGGATAAAAAAACCTAAACCAGCACCAAACTAAGCTGCAAACCACTAAACCGGCATTAGACCAGGTTGAAAACATTGAAGCGGAACTAATTCGAGATGAAACCAACTAAACAATATCAATGTGCCGAAAATCACTAAATTAGCACTAAGCCGGGATGAAAATACTAAACCGGAATTTAATAGTAGTGAAAACCACTAAATTAGCACATAATTGATAATGATCACAACAGTCAATAAACAAACGCAAACGATTACAACTTGATGTGTGTTGGGTTACAACTAGACGAGTGCAGCATTCACGTACAGCTGCACCCCACTCACCCAAGTACGAGTTGAAACTTGAGCAATCCTATGTTAGGGTCAAGGAAAAAAAATAGAGTTAAGAACAAGAAGAATAAGAGAGTATGAAACAATATTGTGTACAACATGTGTAGTGCTAACACCCTATTACCTCTTTAAATTAGGTTGGTATTGAAGACAATTACAATATTAAACAAGTAGAACATAATAGGAAAATTGTGTAATACGAAAGTAGAACAATAGAAAAGTGACATAATAGGAAAGAAACATAATATGAAAGTTAAATAATAGGAAAGTAACACTCTAACATAAATAAATAGAGTTTCCGAGAGCAGTGAATTTGGTATGTGGATAAGGATGATAAATTTTAAAATTGATAAGCCACAAGCACCAAAAAATTAAGATTTTGAATATTTGGACATCTACATTGGTAGTCAGGAACAATCTTGTTGCAAAGTAAGTCTCCCAAGGAGCATGTAGGCCCAATCACTCTTGCAGTGCACCACTAATAAAAGATAATGGAAGAAACATATATTTTATTTTCATTATCCAATAATTAGACAAAATCATGGCCAAATGTTTTCTGAATCGGAACTTTGATAACGTAATACATCATAGTCATTCACTTGACTAGCACACAGTGGCAACTATAAAAAGTTCTTGAGTCAAGTTTTTCACTTCAATATCTCTTACTTATATAGCATTGCATCTCTCTAGTTTAAATTGCTGAGCATTGACTCAATAAATTTAGGCAAAATAAAAACTAGCCTTCTTATCTCGAGGAAAGTCAATGAGTTTTAAGTACATAGCGGCAGCAAAAGATGAGGAGAATATCTCATCCTGCAAAAACAAAGATCAATTCAAAATTCACATCCAACGAATCACATTTTCCAATAAGCAATGATATGTATATATATTTTCACAACAAACCTCACAAACGGGAATTCCAAGGGAATGAAACTTCTCAGCATATTGCCTTCTAGACTTGGTCGAATTGTTGGTCACAAACACAAGTTTCTTCCCCTGCAGTCATAGATTCTACACAGATATATAAATATGTGCATACAAACACTAGTTTAAATAGGATAGATTGATGAATGGGAGGTGATAATAAGACCTTGGATCGAAGCATTTCCAATGTCTGGGGAACACCATCAATGAGCGTATTGCCCTTCCAAATTACACCTAATAACAAACACACACACACAAACATTCATACTTAAAAAATTGATCGATGTGATATACTTAAGATGGTTCGAGGGAATAATTACAGAAGAAACATTAAAAAGTATATATAGACCATCGCAATCGAAGAGAAAAGCATCAACAGAAGCGAATAGATCTCGGACGTTTTGAGGAGAGAGAGGCTGAGAAGGTCTCGTTGCTTTACAGTTCTCGACGTTCATCGCTGCAGTCTACGGCTAGGGGTTGCCGACGGGAGGAACGGAGGGTAAAGCTGAGGGGATTTCAGAAATTTTGAGTTGACTACTCTTTTTTTTTTTTACAACTCCAACACTTGTACTCAAAGCAGGAGTTTCAAAGCGTTTATATAGTACACACACTCTAAAGCTATATGACGCGGAATAGTCCCAGTCTATCACACCTAGGCTAAAAGGCCTCTCCGATCATCATCGGGCCGGAGGAATGTAACTAGACTCACGTGGGACCCAAATGTACACATATTTTTTTTTTTTGACCATAGAATAACTCTGACACTTCTATTTAAAGCCGAAGTGTCAAAGCATTCGTATAACCCCACACACCCTAAGGCTACTTGGACTTGGCTTTAAGCAGTAGCGTTGAGCAGTTAAGGCGCATTCCTTACCACTTCCGGATGTCAATTACCCACGAAAATAAATTTATTTAATATGTTATAAATGTTAACTCAGTATTTGTTAATCATAATCAAATTAACACCTTTGCTTCCGAATATCATGTGTTAGTGCATACATACATTACGCGTGAACCATTACGTATTATCATTGTGTTAAACATTTTTTGATATGAATTTGTAAATTATTTGTTAATGTTGACCCGAAAAAGATTTGAAAAGATTAAAAAAAAAATTATGGAGACATACGCAATGCCTAGCTAGTTGTCCTCCATAGATTCTAAGCACCTTGAAGGATTTGTAACCACACTTCAATAATCTCATGTAAAAATTGCTACAACTTTGGGAGTAGGCTTAAGTTTTCCCAATTACTTAATTAATCATGTTAGATGCTTCATGCTATTCCAAATTAATCATGTTAGATGCTTCATGCTTATGTGGGGACTTCCTAGAGAAGGGAAATGTTCTATTAATCTTACAGTATATGGCTTTGTGATTCTAATCGTAAAAATCCTATTTTTTTTAACAATAATTTTAAAGATAACTAAAATCAAGCACCATATAAAGTGTTATAAATACATAGAACGATATGTCAAATCATCTATATATATATATATATATAGATAAGTGGAAGACAAACCACTTTTTTTGGTTTTTGTTGTGGAGAGACAGCGAGACAGAGAGTGAGAGAGAGAAAGATGAGTGTTTATTTTTTTTATTTTCCTCTTTTATTTTTCCTCAGATCTACAAAGATTGAACCTTTTAATCGCTTCAGGCCAAGAACTAAAGTTGCTCTACTCAGCGAGAGCTACGCAACCACACCAAATATCGTATTTTTCTTCGAAAGAATATCACAGCTGATAATCTAGGCCAAAAACTTAGGGAGCTAAATTTGGGCTTCCTTGGCGTTCTAGTGAGTGGGCTCACGCTACGAGAGGTAGGGTTTCTCCTATTTAGATTTAATTTCAACTTAAAATATGACATGTGAAATGAATAGACTGTGGGTGTATATCACATGTTAGGTCTTGATTAGTATGACTAGTGAGTCAAATATAGGATTTATAATTAACCTTGCGATTAATAAAATTCTATTGTGATTAACTTGTTGTAAGTTAATGTTAGTGGTTTAAAGCATGTTAATTGTATATTAGCATTACTTTATATTTTAATGGTAGATCAAGTTTAATAAAATTATTAACTTGTTATGTGATTATGAAATAATATGTATGTTAAATAATTATTTAACATATAATTATTTTGGTGGACTTGTACTTATGTTTATATAATTAATAAACATGTTATCATGTTGCAAATCATAGCATGTTAGTTGTGTAAATTGATGTGCTCTTTAGATGTTTGATTAAATGCCTAGGTGAATACAAGTATGTTAGTTGAGTTGATTATCTTACATAACATGCTTGAGATCGTGTTAAAATGTCATTATATTGTATTCATTATGTAATTGACATTGTATTGCATTATGCATGAGTTGCACTACATTCATGAGCATTGACATGAGTGAGAGTGTATGCATGGTATGAAATCAATCACCACGTAGGTGGTTGATCGTGGACTCGAAAAAGTCGCACCAAAGTTTGGCTGAGTCGCACGGGAAATTAAATGGATAAATGTGCTGGGGACAGCAAGAAGGGCTAGATTCTCCCTTGGGTGCAAGACCCGCTTACTTAGTTTATACACTTTTCGGTGGTGAAATTCCAGAAAAGTGTAACGGCGAAAACGGAGCCGCAGGTGGGATGTCCTGAAGATCCGTTGATGGTTGGTGTCTCATTGGTATAATACCATAAATCATCTCCCCACAAAGACACAAGAAAATGAATTAATTAGTTATTGAGTGTACATAACACCAATGATGGGGGCTTGAAATGCCCGGATATATACGCATGACATTGCATGTGTTATGGGAGCTCAGGATGGGACTCGGGGTTGGTATTGCTTGCGTGAGTCTCATCTCATGGCATGACATAATTTATGACGTTCGATCATAATAGACATGTTTGAATGAATGTATCAAATGATTGATGCATGTGACATTCCATATGTATTTTAGTTGAGAGGTATTCTCTATTGGAGTTACCCTATTGAGCGTTGGCTCACCCTTTATAGGAACATTTTTCAGGTATCGCACAGGCGTCCACCGAAGGCGAGGCCATGGGCCCGCTTTGACGACAGAGCCGGTCTGTGGCTTTATTTTGACATTGTAGTCCCTTGTTTATATTTACTTTTGGCCTTGTATAATTTTTGTAATAAACATTTGTTTATATTTACAAAGGCATGTATATGAGACTCTTTTGGGACATTTATTCTCTTACGAACGACTTTGAAATAAATCTGTTAAGGGCTGCCAACATCCCGGCCAATTTTTGAATGTCCTTAATGGTCTTAGGCGCCCGGATATTCTGGATTGCTTGTATCTGCTCGGGGTTTGCTTCGATCCCTCGATGAGTAACCAAATACCCTAAAAAATTTCTTGAGCTCACTCCAAAGGCGCACTTCGAGGGGTTTAGTTTTAGGCCATATTCCCGGAGGATGGAAAATATCGTCCCGAGATGGTGGAGATGGTCGTCCTCCTTTTTGCTTTAGACCAACATGTCATCAATGTACACCCCCATCGTTTCGCCGAGCTGGTCTTTGAAAATTTTGTTCATCAATCGTTGGTAAGTCGCCCCAGCATTCTTCAACCCAAAAGGTATTACTGTGTAACAGTAGATTCCCTGGGGCGTGATGAACGTTGTTTTCTCCTGATTTAATTCATGTAGGGGAATCTAGTGATATCCAGCCCGAGCATCCATGAAGGTGATGCACCTATAGCCGGCTATGGCGTCTACCGGCTGATCATACCACCTCATCTTAGGAGCAAGGTTCTCATACCACCTCATGCCGGTGTCCCCTAGGCTCATGGAAAAAACTCGGCACAACACCCTTTGGTCAGTATCGTAGATTGACATCAATTATCTGTATTGCCGAATGTGGCTCTCGGGATCGATTTTCCCATCATAGACTTTGAACAGTGGGACGGTAAACTTCTTCGGCATCTCGGCCTCCTTGATAGCCCAGACGAACGGTGAGATAACTTCGTTGGAGTAGACCGCGGGTTCATGGTTGTGCTGAGCAATAAAGGGGACCCGGGGATCCTTGGTTGATCTCTCCCCTCGAGGCCTTCGGGGTATGGACTCCGCTTGAGATTCGGCGACTCCGACGCCCTCGGGTATCCCTCGACGCAGGTCCCACCTGGATAGACTTGCCTTCTAGCCTGATTTATACTTTCCCTTAGAGGCCGAGAACCCTCCTTGGCGGTCACGTCCCTCGGGCGAGTGCCTAATCCAATCTTTCTTGGAGTGCTAACGCCAGGGGGGTCTGGAGAGGTTCTGGCTGAGCACCTCGTCCCCGACCCCCGCGACTATGCTCACCCGCACTTGTTGACTGTTAGAAATCGTCAAGACGTTGCTGGACTTTGGTGCTTTCCCTTTTGATCTGCTTAATGTGTTTGCCCATCCGCTTTTCCACCATCTCCACGATGTCATGGGCCATGAGGTCATGCCCCCCAAGGCCCTGATCCATAAGGAACATTCTTTACGAAGAATGCCCCACCCCATCTGATTGGCCCAATGAACCTGGCTCCAGAACAATTGGAAGCCGGACGAGCTCTGCGTTCCTGGCCCGTACACCTGCTTCTTCACCCTGAGATCGAGTGTTCACCATCAGATGATCGCTACCAGGAAAAATGATTTCGTTCCCACAGACGGCGCCAAATTGCACGAGATATTTCCTGCAATCGTATGAGACAACGATCTCCTAGTTGGCAAACCTGAAACTACAGGGTCAGAAAAAAGGGGGCCAGACGTGTGCCCGGCTAATCCCTCTGAAGCTTAAGTTAGTATAAAATCGAAGGGTTTTGCTTAATGGAATATTTTTCTTGTTCAAGTTTGCGTACCTTTGTCCATTTTTCTGAAGAATATTTATACTTGAATTAGCAATGATTGCCAAAGATCTCCAATCCTATCTGAACATCTCACATCTGACACATCAATCCTCGTGCAATGAGTGTTTTCTATTCACGTCTCCTCCTATTGAATGCTAGGAACATGGGGGTAAATGTTCGGCCATGTGCTGAGCATTTATGCCACTCCCCGAGCACCCAAATCCCTCATATCGGCATCTGATATCAACCGAGCATTGAATACTCGGGAGGAACAGTTCCTCGAGAGAGTCGCTCGCGTCGTCTCAACGCATCAGTCATTAATGCTTTAGTCATCATGACAGTAGGCTTAGACTCCCAGATGACAGGTCCTGGCAGGCACGCATTTACTTGCCTTGTCACTATCACTCACTCCGCCATAAATGAGGAGTCATATCGCATTGAGTACGATGCCAGTTCTTGTACTCGGCTGCTCCGTGTCACCATACCTCGGCTTACCTGCTCGGCACCCTTTGGACATCCCATCGGCTTCATTATTCCACGTGTCAACTCGGGGGCTGAAGAGCCACCTAGAGTCCCATCAAGTTCTATTCACATTATGTCGCCAAAGCAAATACTCATGAATTTGTATCTATTTTGGAAGCTTATCATCAACATGTTTATCATGTAGGTCAATACATTCAAACCTCAGTTGCTGTTAGAAATGAAGTCATTAGTTG